TTGTCGAGGGTTAACTGTGGCAGCCCGCCTGGTACTTAAAAGCGACGATGATGATGTTCTACCTAACCCTCCCATCGTCATGTCACGATAAATGCACACATATGTAGTATACACAAACATGAACATAGGCAATTCCTCTTTGGAATAATCGGCGTTATTTCACATATCGGCTCATGTTTATTTTAAACGTGTTGTTCGTTTAACGGTACGGCGACCGTCTGACATTCTCGTCGCGATTAAAATAAAAACAACTAAATTTAGATGCAGCAGCAACCTATTTTTCTGGTCCCGTCTGTAAACATCTGATGATTGAGTTTCCAACAGTGTCGCCATCATACGATGAGAAGGAGATCAGTGGCCTGCTACTGTCGGAATTTACCATACGGTGTCGTCAATGCATTTTGTACGTTGAGTATAATTTTCATTCCACTATATCAAGGGTGTCAACCTCAATTTGGTTTCAGGCCACATCTTGTTTTTTCCTCATTATGAGGGTGATATTGGCTTCTCATATGATTATATCGACAAAAATAACATTCAAATAATGGGGGATAACTACATTTGAAAGCAGAAGTTTGTTAAGCCAGTGTTTGATTTATTCTAAAATCCGTCTGTCAGACTCCTGTCCTTGAGGGCCACTATCCTGTGTGTTTCCCCTCCTCCAACTTACCTGATTCAAAGGATGATCATTGTCAGTCCTGAAGCAGCATAAGAACGATCCTGATTATTTGAATCAGTTGTGTTGAAAACAGGCAGGACAGCAGCCCTTGAGGACTGACTTTGGACACCCCTGCTTGAGAGGGCCGCGTAAAATAATGCAGCGCTCCGGACCTGGCCGTCACGTCTTGAATTTGACATCTGTGCACAATATGCAGCAGACAGTGTGTTGCCATGTGTGTGTTATGTTGCACGGATCAACTCGGCTGTCACTTGATTGATATTACACCCAGTTATCTTTGTTTTTCCCCCCCATGTTTGCAGGTTGGCTGCGTTTGCAGCCGAGTGAGGAGGTGGGGAAAGATGCCTTCTCCGTCTTTTAACCTCGATGCTCAGAGCCCATTTCATGACAAATGGCTCAAGATAGACTTACAGGTACGTGACGCAATCCACAAAGATGAATCGATGGGTTGCCTGATTCTGTCACTTGTCAAACTTTCCATGCGAATGAACAAGATCTTCAGGGCATACACGTAGATTAGATAAAAGGGGTGTAACAAAAACTGATTTGAATCGAAGAATTGGTTTTGATTTAAAAGATGCCAGCGAATCACATTTACTCATTCACTTGAAAAGACATCGATATATGAATCAAATTGTCTTTTTATTGGAGAGATGCACTCAGCCCCTTTCTTAGTTCCACCATCGGGAAATTTGGAAGTAAATGTGAACAAACCATTAATTCTGATACATTGAAGATTGCCTCTTGTAGGGAATTGAAGTTATAATTTGTATTTGATCTTAACTAAAGCAACCGGATTCCAGCACAACAATGCGTTGATTCTTTTTTTTATTTTTTATTTTTGGTAATGTCTGGTCTCCTCTGGCAGTGGGCCTTCTCGGCAGAAGGACTGAGCGAGATGTGGAACGAAATGGTCAAGGATGAGGAGATAACCTTCAACAGCGAGGAATCGGCGCATCCAGGTATGACACCATCTTGGCACGTGCGGATTATTATTATTTTTTTCCCCTTTGAATCAGCAAAAACGCTATGGGTCAGTATGACCCGGAGTTTGTTTTATCATCTGAAAGTGCCAAATAATAAAATCAATTTCTATTTGGTTGGTTACCTTTATTATGACAACTTTATTTTATTTTATTTTTTTGATTTTCTTGAGTTTTGCTAACGGTTTAATTTGCTCTGTAGCATCACATTACTGGCAAATTGCCCGCTCTTGCGTTTTGTTTTTGTTTTGTTTTGTGTTGTGTTGTTGTTGTTTTTTGTTTGTTTGTTTTTTTAAATAAGCAAACATTTTTTAATGGGCGTTTATGTACTTCCGGGTCAGTATGGCTACTGTAGCCTGTAACGCTTCAGATGTCTTTCGCACATTTGGAAACCGTGCTTACGACCAAGAACACATTTTATGTTATGGTATTTCAAGCCCATTTAAAATTAAAATGGAATTAAACTTACCCTTAAGAAAAGTTCTGTCTGTAAAAGTTTTATTCTTTGGTTTTTCAACTAGTGTCCACACGCACGCACACACACACACACATGTGCAGGCGCGCAACACCCACATGACTCATTAGTCAAGTCAAAATTGAGTGAAAACATTTTGAATAATTAATGGCCCTAAATGAGTCTTGTGGGGACCCGGTCAGAGGTGTTGACAAGCTGGTCGGTCACGCCAGGAGAAGGCAAAGAACCCAAGCAGTTAATTAAGAAAAGTCCACACAACAACAAACACTGACGTCATCGACACAGTTTAGTCAAAAGTTTACTTTTACATCAGGGGCACATGTAATATAATATATACCACCACATATGATGGTTAATTATTTCAATTTAGATCATATATACTCTAATTGCCCCACGGGGATAAAAAAAGTTTTCTGAATCTGAATATATACTATGCAGTATAAATATTGTCCTAATCAATTGTAGTTTTGTCACAAACAGCGGGGGTGTTCCAACTACAGTAGGATCACACTCCTCAGCCTTCCTGATAAGGTCAATTCAAACGTGCTGAAAAGAAGGTTCCATCAGGAAGTTGAATATCGGATTCAAGAGAAGTGGCATAGTTTTGGTCCAGCAGGGTTCTGGGGGCTGCATAGTAGTTTGCCTAGCTAGTCTAAATGTGCTTTGTGCACTTAGCAAAGACATTCGACCGTGTCCCTCGGGGGAATCGGGTGTCAGGTGTCAGAGTTCGGTCCATATGGCCCAGAAAAATTCAGATTTGTTTCCAGTGAGGAATATGTCTCGGTCTGTCGCGGTGACAAAGGAGCTGAACCGAAAAGCAAAATTCACGATTTACCAGTCAATCTACGTTGTACTCTGAGCACCTCCCTGTCCAAACCAGTTGGACAGAATCTGAAGCGCCCATATGAGGGTGAACACAAAGAACATGCACACCGGTTGTATCAACTCCCATGCAACCTGCAGGAGCCTGTTGACGTTGGCCCCCTCAACAACGGACCCACGTAACACGGAGCGCTCTTGCGCAATGTCTCCAACTTCCTTGGTTTATAAATGAATGTTGAAGTTTGTAGGATTGCAACACTCGAGACCTGTCTTGAGATAACAGTACATGTTGAAGGTCTTTGTCTTGGACTCAACTCCGCCAAATCTTGGTCTTGTCTCAGTCTCGCATGAGCTGAACTTTGGGATTTTTTTGGGTTCAGACCTGTCAGCATTGATCTGCTATTCTTCAACTTTATTATGGTGACACCGAGAAGTACTCGATCAAACAATAAATACCTCTGATTCATGTGTTAGCCACACCCACCCCCACCACTCCTGCAATGTTTGTGACTGAGGGCCCCAAAAAAGTTCGGGGTGCCATCGGCTTCAGCGCGACCCCGTGACCCTCATGAGGATGGAACGGATAATTAAATGAAAACACTCTTTCAATGTTCGACCTTGTCACAGTTTTTAAAATGGATTTTTATGGTCTTTGTCTCATCCCGTTCTTGGCTGGTCTCGGTCTGTCCTGGTCTGGCCGCTGCCTCTCACAAATGTGTTGGTCTCATTCTTATCACAGTCTTACTCTCAGTCACCCAAATCCAGCCCTCGACTTTGATTTTTT